AAAAAAAAAAAAAAAAATAGAAAAAAGATTTACCATAAAGCTACGAGACAATAAGTCAAGATAATGTGATATTGGTCAAAGGATAGACAGAACAACAGAACAAAACAGAGTCCAGAAATAGATTCACAAATATAAAGTTAACTGATTTTCTACAAAAGTATAAAGTCAGGCTGGGTATGGTTGCTCATGACTGTAATCCCAGCACTCAGGGAGGCCGAGGCAGGTGGATCACTTGAGGTCAGGAGTTCGAGACCAGCCTGGCCAACATGGTAAAACCTCATCTCTACTAAAAATACAAAAAAAAAAAAAAATTAGCTGGGTGTGTTGTTATGCACCTGTAGTCCCAGCTACTCAGGAGGCTGAGGCAGGAGAATCGCTTGAAGCTGGCAGGTGGAGGTTGCAGTGAGCTGAGACTGCGCCACTGCACTCCAGCCTGGGTGACAAGAACAAAACTGCATCTCAAAAAAAAAAATAATTTGAGGTAGATGATGAACCTAACATAAAACCAGAAGCATAAAAGCTTCCAGAAGACAGCACAGCACACTGCCTTTGCAATATGAGGTAGGCAAAGATTCCTTGGACAGTATCCAAAAAAAAAAAATTGGTAAAATGAATGAAAAATTGAGAAAATTCTTTATCAGAATTTTAAATTTCTGCTTATCCAATGATACCATTCAGAAAATGGATAAGTTACAGACCTGAAAACACATCTTTGCAGCTATGTATCTGCACTTGTATCCAAGTTATACAAAGACATCAACAACAAATCGACAGTAAACAACCACATTACAAAATGGCCAAAAGACTTCAAAAGACACCTAAAGATATGCAAATGACAGTCTGGGCACAGTGGCTCACGCCTACAATCCCAGCACTTTGGGAGGCTGAGGCGGGTGGCTCGCCTGAGGTCAGGAGTTCGAGAGCAGCCTGGCCAACATGGAGAAACCCCATCTCTACTAAAAATACAAAAATTAGTCCGACGTGGCGGTGCACACTTGTGATCCCAGCTACTCGGAAGGCTGAGGCAGGAGAATCACTTAAACCTGGGAGGCAGAGGCTGCGGTGAGTGAAGACTGCACCACTGCACTCCAGCCTGGGTGACAGAGCAAGACTTCGTCTCAAAAAAAAAAAAAAAGATACAAATGACCATAAAGCACATTAAATAGTGCTTGACTTCATTCACCACCAAGGAAATTCAACTTAAAACTACAGAGAAATACAACTTTGTACCCACTAGAATGGCTAAAATCAAAGACTGATTTTTCAATGGGTACTGGGGGACTACTGGAGGGAGAAGGGGCTGGGAGGTGTGGCCTGAGATACTCCCTACTGGGTGCTGTGCTCACTACCTGGGTGATGGGATCACCCATTCCCCAAACCTTCAGCATCATGCATCATATCCATGTAACAAACCTGCACATATACCCCTGGAATCTAAAAGTTGCAATTAAATAAAAGATAAAATAAGTACCATTCCATATCTTAAACACATACACACACACACACACACACACACACATCTCAGTTATCTACTGCTGCATAACATATCACTGCAAACCTTTGTAACTTAAATAACTGCAACCATGGTATTATCTCACAGCTTCTTTGGGTCAGGAATTCAAGAAAGGCTCGTCTGCGTGGGTCTGGCCTGGGTTCTCTCCTGCTGCTGCTCTGCGACTACAGCTGGATGGGAAAAGTGGGGGCTAGAGGAGCTGAGGCATTGTCCTCTCCCTTCACACATCTTAAAGACCCTCCACATGGTCTAGTCGGGGATTTCGCAAGGTGTGGCAGCCTCAGGGTCCTCAGACGTCTCACTGGGAGGCTCAGGACTCCTACAGAAAGCAAGTCATGGGCTAACAAGGTGGATGGATGCCGCCTTTCCTTTATGACCTAGCCTGAGAAGTCACACTGGGGCACTTCCACCACAGACTATTGGTTACAAGCGAGTCAACAAGCCTGTCAGATTGAAGGAGAGTGGAATTAGATACTGTGTCTTGCTGTGGGAATTGGTAAGATTCTTGAAGAGTATGTGGGACAAGAGATATTATATTACTGTAGTCGTTTTTGTTATTATTTTGAGATGGAGTCTTGTTTGTCACCCAGGGTGGAGTGCAGTGGCACAATTTTGGTTCACTGCAGCCTCCGCCTCCCAGGTTCAAGCGATTCTCCTGCCTCAGCCTCCCAAGTAGCTGGAATTACACTTGTATGCCATCATGCCCAGCTAATTTTTGTATTTTTAGTAGAGACGAGTTTCACCATGTTGGTCAGACTGGTCTCAAACTCCTGACCTCAAGTGATCCACCCGCCTCGGCCTCCCAAAGTGCTGGGATTACGGATGTGAGCCACTCTACCCAGCTTCTTGCAGCCATTTTCAAATAATACAATCTGTGGGGGATAAACCTGGAAAGAAAAGCAGGTGACACATCATACCAGGACCTGTAAGCCACATTTTTTTTTCTGAGAGAGAGAGTCTTGCTTTGTTAGCCAGGCTGGAGAGCAGTGGTGCGATCATGGCTCGCTGCGGGCTCGAGTTCCTTCACAGGTGTGCCTCAGCATGGCTGGTTAATATTTGCAGAGATGCGGTCTCACTATGTTGCTCGGGCTGGGCTCAGGCCATCCACCCATCTTGGCCTCCCCACGGGCAGGAGCCACACAAATTTAGATCTTGATATGAACAGTGATGAAGAACCACTGGAGGAAGTTTTATGTTTTGTTTTCATCACTGGACAGTTTTAAGCAAGAGAGTGAATTGTTTGGTTGTCTGTAAAAGTTTGTTCTAGGAGCCGTGTGGGCGGAGTTCATGGGAAGGGGTCTGTTCTCACAGCCGTGTGGGCGGAGTTCGTGGGGATGGTCTGTTCTAGCAGCCGTGTGGATAGAGTTCATGGGGAGGGTTTTGTTCTAGCAGCAGTGTGGATAGAGTTTATGGGAAGGGGTCTGTTCTAGCAGCCATGTGGATAGAGTTTGTGGGGAGGCTTTGAAAGCACAGACCATTCAGGAGAGGACCCAAAAGACCCAGGGCCACACCTGGCGGTTGGCCTCAGCCTGGGTAAGTGTAAGGAATAGAGAAGTTCTTCAAAATTTTTATCTTAGGCCTTAAAGAGTAACAAATTTTTACTTTAAAGTCCTCATCCATGACTAGCCCCTGTATTCCAGCCCAGCTAGCTGCTCTGACTCTCTTGGGCATGCAAGTCCCAGCCCACTGTTCATGCCGTTCCTTATTTGGAGCCGCTTCCTTGACCATCTGGTAAGCATCTTCCTCTTTTCTTTGTTCTCTCCCCCTTTGTCTATTTAGGAAAGTTTTAGGTTATTAGCCAGTTGGATAAAGTATAGAATGTGAGGTTCTGCTCCAGCCAGTGGAGGCCGGATACAGTAGTAGGGAGGACGTGTCAGGTTATAAATAGTGCTGTCTCCTTTGTTTGGTGCACTCTCGTGGCCACACTGCTGGAGAGCAGTGTCCTTTCTGCAGAAAGTAAAAGAAAGCCTTGCTGAGAAGCCTTTTGTCTGAATGCTGATTCTTCCCTGCAACGTGGGAAGATAAGCACTTATTCCCAACAGTAAGGGACGAGGGAGAGGGTGTGGGACATGGAAGGCCGCCAGGTTTCTGGCCATTCCAGCAGTTTTGTTCACTGTGATGGAAAACCATGGAGAAGTAAGTTTGTTTGGGACACACTGGCTTTGAGAGTCCAGGGTAGATGCATGAGACTGAACCTTAGCTGATAAAAATTGAGGTGGGAATACACAGCATTTACAAAGGTACAGGAGGCCGGGCATGGGGACTCATGCTTGTGATCCCAGGGCTCTGGGAGGCCGAGGTGGGAAAATCGATGGAGCCCAGGAGTTTGAAACCAGCCTGAAACCTAACACCAAAATTCTTAGCCAGGCCTGGGGGTGGGAGGCCCAGGCAGGAGGATAGTTGAAGCCCGGGAGGTGGAGGCTCCTGGGAGCCACGATAGCGCCACTGCATTTCAGCCTGGGCAACCAAGCAGGATCCTGTCTCAAAAACAATTAAAAATAAAATTTTTAAAAGACAGTCGGGTGTGGCGGCTCACACCGGTAATCCTAGCACTTTGGGAGGCCGAGGCGGGCAGATAAGTTGAGGTCGGGTGTTTGAGACCAGCCTGGCCAACATGGCGAAATCCCATCTCTACTAAAAATACAAAAATTAGCTGAGAATGCCTGAACCCAGAGACGGAAGCTGCCATGAGCCGCAACTGCACTACCACACTCCAGCCTAGGCGACCGAGCAGGACCCAGTCTCAAAAAATAACAATTAAAAATAAAATGTTGAAAAGGCACAGTACTAGACCACAGGCGTGGGCTGCCAGAATTTAAAATCTCCCTGCCCACCTCCCATCCGCGCGGTCAACTGTGCGAGGTTTCCAAAAGACAGAAGCACGCATGCGCACGCCACTGTGGCCTAGGAGGCCCACAGAAGTACGCGCACAACGCTAGGTGCCGAGGGCGCCGACAGAAGCACGCATGCGCACAACGCTGTGTGCAGAGATTGACAGACAGAAGCACGCAATCGCACACCACTGTGGCTGACGTTTCCTACAGACAGAAGCACGCACGCGCACACCGCTGTGCGCCGAGGACTCCCCGACAAAGCACGCATGCGCACACCGCTGTGGCCGAGATTTCTAACACACAGAAGCACGCACGCGCACAGCACCATGTGCCAAGGACTCCCACACAGCAGCAGCATGCACACGCAGCTACGTGCCAAGGTCTCTGACAGAAGCACGCATGCGCACAATGCTATGTGCCGAGGTCTCCGACAGCACACATGTGCACACCACTGTGTGCCAAGGTTGCCAACACAGAAGCACGCATGCGTACACCGCTGTGTGCCGCGGTCTCCGACAGAAGCACACATGTGCACACCTCCAGGTGCCCAGGGCACCAACAGAAGCACGCATGCATGCGCACACCCTGGTCTGCGGGGCTCCAGGCAGAAGTGTCCTGACTGCGCAGGCGCCACGAGGGCAGTCGCCATGGAGACGCGTGGCCCTAGCCTGACCGTCCGAACGCAGAGCCGCCCACTCGTTGGCAGCTGGTCTCAGGAGTCCCCCGGGCGGGTCGCAGCCCAGCGAGCGGGCTGATGGACCGCCGCGGTGGGGCAGGGGCGTCGGGGTATGAAGACGGAGAGGATGACGATGGCGAGGAGGCGGAGCAGGAGGGCGGCGCTGCGGGACCCCGGGGGTCTAGACTGCCCCCCATCACAGGTGGTGCCTCCGAGCTGGCCAAACGGAAGGTGAAGAAGAAGAAAAAGAGGAAGAAGAAGACCAAAGGTTCTGGCAAGGGGGACGGTAAGAGGAGCAGCCAGTACTGCTGCATCAGCTCTGGTACTGGAGATTCTTCCGGGACCCTCCACTCCCGCCAGTCCCAGGGACTCCCATTTATCTGGAGACCCTTCAGACTGGAAACAGAAGCTCAGCGGTCCCAGACAGAGGTCCTCCTGCTCTGCACACATGCCTGTCAGCAGCACAGCGATGCCCCAGCCGCACCCATGGAGACCATCCACCAACTTTACGGTCCCTTAGCCCCACACAGAGACCCCCACAGACATCCAGCATTCCTAAGAGCCTGCTAGCCCCACACAGACACCCTCTCAACTTCCTAATCCCTCAGCCAAAACTGACAATCTTAAACGTCTGCACCTTCCCCACAGAGGCCCTCCTCAAAAGACACTTTCCCCAACCCAAAGACACTGACGCTATATGAAAGAACCTCACTCTAGTGCACAGAGAAACGCAGACTCCTGCCTCTCCTCACACCTCGTGTGTGAAGGCTACTGCTTCTGGATGTGCTGTAGACCCCCCCACACCCACAGACATGCGTATAAGATGTCATCATGCACGGACTCCACCCCACACCCACCAAGGGACTGCACAAACCCCGTTATACCAGTCATTGTGACATCCTCCTATACTCCCGAAACCCTCGACAATGTCCCCGTTCATATCAATGTAACACCATCACAGGAAACTAAAGGGTGGGGTACTTTGGGAGGCCAAGGTGGGAGGATCACTTGAACCCAGGACCTCCAGTCTGCAGTGAGCTATATGATCACACCCCTGCATTCCAGCCTGGGCAACAGTCAAGATCCTGTCTCTCTAAACAGATAAAAACAACAAAAACTAAAGCATGAGTCCCTGTCATGTACACACATTCACGTGCTACAGTCTACACACACACACACACACACACACACACACACACAGACCATTCATACGTCACGCATTCACCCTGTCAGGTACACACATTCACACTCCAGTCTACACACACACGCACAGACTGCTCATGTGTTATGCATTCACCCTGTCATGCACACACATTCAGACTCTACAGTCTACACACACATACACACACACACACACAGACTGCTCGTGTGTTATGCATTCACCCTGTCGTGCACACACATTCACACTCTACACACACACACACACACACACACACACACTCTGTTCATATGTTATGCATTCACATGTGCAGTCGTATGCAGGCAGGAATTGCAGTGTCTCTCAGAGACACCTTCGCAAACACACAGCACCTGCTACAAACCCCCCGTCCCTACATCTCACCAAGCTCTTCTTGTAGAACCCCTAGATTTCTTGACAAAGGGACTGAGCACCCACTTTGAGGAGAGAGGGTGCAGCAGTGACAGAGAATGCAGGTGCTCGTGAGTGCTGTGAGTCCACTGTTACCCATCTGTTCCACCTCAGTGGCTTTGGCTGTCAGGGAGATGGCCCTAAGCTTCAGTTCTAGCCTGGCCCTCTGTGGCAGAGCTGGCACCAAGACAAGCAGGAGGCAGGAGTGGCAGCCTTGCCCACATCCAACATGCAGTGTGGGAAGGGAGCAATAGGAAGATAAGTAGTTCTCAGGAAGAAAATTCTGCAGTTCAGGTCAAGAAGCCCTATGTGGGTGGGCGCAGTGGCTCACACCTATAATCCCAGCACTTTGGGAATTCAAGACCGGCCTGGCCAACATGGTGAAACCCCGTCTCCACTGAAAACACAAAAATTAGCTGGGCATGGTGTCAGGCACCTAGAATTGCTTGAACTTGAGAGGCGGAGGTTGCAGTGAGCCAAGACTGTGCCACTGTGCTCCAGCCTGGGTGGCAGAGTGAGACTCTGTCTCAAAAAAAAAGAAACCCTAGGCCAGGTGTGGTGGCTCAGGCCTGTAATCCCAGCACTTTGGGAGGCTGAGGCAGGTGGATCATGAGGTCGGAGTTCAAGACCAGCCCGGCCAACATGGTGAACCTCTTGTCTCTACTAAAAATACAAAAATTAGCCGGGTATGGTAGTGCACATCTGTAATTCCAGCTACTTGGGAGGCTCAGGAAGGAGAATCGCTTGAACCTGGGAAGTGGAGACTGCAGTGAGCCGAGATCATGCCACTGCACTCTAGCCTGGGAGACAGAGCAAGATTCCATCCAAAAAAAAAAAAAAGCCCCATATATATCTGCAAAAAGAAATTTGGCAGTTCAGTGTCCTTCTGGTGTAGCTTTTCACTGTAGAAATTACAGTGGCATGGCTGGGCACGGTGGCTCACACCAGTAATCCCAGCATTTAGGGAGGCTGAGGTGGGCAGATCACAGTGTTAGGAGATTGAGACCATCCTGGCCAACGTGGTGAAACCCGGTCTCTACTAAAAATTCAAAAATTAGCTGGATGTGGTGGCGGGCACCTGTAGTCCCAGCTGCTTGGGAGGCTGAGGCGGGAGAATCGCTTGAACCTGGGAGGCAGAGGTTGCAGTGAGCCGGGGTTGTACAACTGCACTCCAGCCTGGGCGACAGAGCAAGACCGCATCTCAAAAAAAAAAAAAAGAAAGAAATTACAGTGGCGTGTACCTCATACCGTCGGCAGGGGACACTAGTTAGTTTTTAGGGAGTAGAAAGGTAGGGAGACGTCAAAAGATCATGGTTTTTCTTTTCTTTTTTTCTTGGGGAAGGAGCTATTTTTCTCTCCCCTAAAATACAAGCATGAGCTGATGAAAGAACCACAATTTGTAGCATTTTATATGCATGTTAAATGATTCTGTCGTGCTATTGATGTAAAAAAATAAATAACAGCACAAGCCACACGGCAGAAGCATTTCTGGCTTGGCATACTGTTGCTTTCATGAGTCAAACTTAGGAGGCTTTTCTGTTCTCCGTTTCTCCCATTATAGACTGTCTAGACGAGGGCACAGTCACAGACTCCCAGACCTGGGAAACGGCCGTGGGGAGCACGCGGTGAGGGTGGGGGGGGCGGCATGGCTGGTGGAAAAATAGGGCACTGGGGCCAGCCCGCACTGATCCCAGCTCTGCCGCTGGCTCAGGACGTTGGCAGGTTCCTGGAGTTTCCTCACCCGAGCAACAGGGCCTTTACCCAGAGGGCCTGGCTCAGTGTCTGCTCAGTGAACGGTTCCTCCCGCCCCAGAATGACTTGAGCAGAAGGAAATGGGTGGACACGAGGCCGGTGGGCGTGGCAGCCTGAGCCCTGGGTACAGAGGCCGCCCCTTCCATCTTTGAGTTGGGCACCATCCCCAGCAGGCCTAGAGCAGACCTTGCCCCACCACTAACCTCCTCGTCTCCTCGGCAGACAAACATCAGAGCCAGAGCCCGAAGAGCCGGCCGCCCTCCCCGTCCTTTCACGAAACCTTAAGTCCCGGCGAAGACCGAGGCGGGAGACCAGAGCACAGACAGAGCAAGCTGGACAGCAGGCACCTGCCTTCCGACTCCTCCACCGTCAGCCTCCCCGACTTCGCCCAAGTAGCGGAGACCCTTTCGAACCGGCTCAACGAGAGTCTGCGCTGGGACGGAATTCTTGCCGACCCGGAGGCGGAGAAAGAGAGGATTCGCATCTATAAGCTCAACAGGAGAAAGCGCTACCGGTGCCTGGCCAAGGGCTTCCACTCCAACCCCAACGCCGAGGAGACCCCCGACACCCTGCCCCACCTCTCCGACAGAGACGGCAGCTCCGGCGGCCCGCGGCCCGCGCTGAAAGGCGAGCCCCCAAGCTCCACCTCGAAGGAAACGTTTCCGCACAGCTTCTACACTCTGTTCAGCTCCCACTCTGCTGCAGTCAAATTCCACCCCCGACCCTGACAAGCTTGCCATTTCTCCTTACCACAAGTTTATACGTAAAGAAGTCATCCCAGGAGGAAGAGAGACCTGTATCTGACGGAAGCCGACGTTTGGCGTGTGGATGAGGCCGACTCTCCCGTCACCTAGATGCCCTCGGGGGCCCAGGGAAGCCGCCGTTCCTTGAGAACAAAAGCAACTTAGTGAACAGAGTCCTTTCCAGAATTCCCTTTTTCTTAAATAAGCTGACATCTGTTGTTTAATTCCTCACCACGGCTGGATGTCTATCAGCTGTCCCAAAAAAGACAAGAAAGTGTGTAGACCATTTACATCTTAAGTCTCAAACGCGCGTGAAACTCCTCACACGGCGCCTGCTTCCGTAGGCCCAGGACAATGCCCTGAATCTCTTGGAGCCTTTTTCTGTTTTAATTAAACACACGGCCTGGCTTTATCTGGCCTCAAAATAAGCGGGTGCCAGAACTTCACCCCTGGAAAGTTACTATGGGAAGTCCCAGAAGGAATACCGCTTCTCTTATAAACATGGTCCTCTCCTAGCCCCCATTATAAAAAGCCTCACTACCCTGCTTCTCCTAAATACACATTCCTCCTGCCACAAATACCCAGTGAGGGAGGGCCGTGTGTTGGGTTAGTTTGTGTTCTCCCAGAAGCAGACCTGGAGACGAGGATTCAAATGCAAGTAGATTACCCAGGAGGTGAAGAAAAGCTGAGAGGGTGAGACAGAGAAGGGACACGGCCAATCCAGGGTCTTTTCTTTTTAGACATGATCCCACTCTGCTGCCCCTGCTGGAGTGCAGTGGTGTGATCACAGCTCCCACTGCCGTCCGCCTCCTGGGCTCAGGCGATCCTCCCATCTCAGCCGCCTGAGTAGCAAGGACTACAGGCGAGTGCCAACACAGCTAATTTTTAAAATTTTTTGTAGAGATGGCGGGGGGTGTTTATGTTGCCCAGGCTGGTCTCGAACTCCTGGCCTCAAGCAATCCTCCCACCTTGGCCTTCCAAAATACTGGGATTACAGGCATGAGCCACTGTGCCTGGCCCCACTTCCAGGGACTATGAGGCCAGCTTTCATACTGGGCAACTAGAGCTTAATTCCATAGGCAAGCCCACTTCTAGAATTATCCCACCTGAGGGTGAGGAAGCTGGGGTATTTATACTCCCCCAAAGGCACTGGCTGAGGGCTGGTCGTGTGTGTATGTGTGTGTGTGTGAGAGAGAGAGAGAGAGAAAGAGAGAGAGAGAATCTCCTGGCATTTCTAGCTGAAAGGTCCAAAGACAGAGGGTGGTCTCTGGGGAAGTCTCAGCTACCTCAGCATCACCATGGGTCTGAAAGGGACAACATGGAGAGCTAAGATGAGATCCCTGACCTTCAAGAGGTTACAGCGTTTTGGGGTAGACAACAAATGAATGTACAGTATACACGGGAGAAGTTAAAAGCTGATACAAATGTCACAGAATGCTCATTTGAAAGTTAAGTGAAAATGGCTGGGCACAGTGGCTCAGGCTTGTAATCCCCACACTGCGAGGCTGGGGCACATGAGCACCTGAGGTCAGGAGTTCAAGACCAGCCTAGCTAATGTGGTGAAACCCTGTCTGCTAAAAGTACAAAATTAGCTGGGTATGGTTGCAGATGCCTGTAGTCCCAGCTACTCGGGAGGCTGAGGCAGGAGAATCCCTTGAACCCAGGAGGCAGAACTTGCAGTGAGCCGAGATCTTGCCACTGCACTCCAGCCTGGGCAATAGAGCGACTCCGTCTCAAAAAAAAAAAAAAAAAAGGTTAAGTCAGAGGGCATCTTGGTCCTTGCTGGCCCTGGGCTGGCAGAGCAGCCCTCTTCTCACCCTTCCTTAAGGGTTACAGTTAGAGTTTCCACATTCGCCCTCGGGCCCTGAAGAGATGTTTGGAAGAGTCCTCTCCTGCCATGGAGAAGGGTTAGCAAACAGGAACAGCCCTCCCCTGTGCTGAAGCCAGGCCTGTCTTCCCTGCTGTCCATGGAGAGGAGGGGACAGGAATACTCCAGTGCCAGCCACAGGACCTCACGGGTGCCCCAGGGTGTCAGGGTAAAGGCAGAGAAAGAACAGGGGGCAGCCCTGGGGCGGGCATCTCGTGTGCCCCCCAGTTCCACCATAGCAGCTGGAGCACAGGCCATGAAGGAGCATGAGGGGGCCCTGGGCTCAGACGGTCGCTTCCATGACGGTGAGAGGCAGGGACGGGGTCCGTGGTCGTCTCCCGGCCGGGAGGTAACATTCTGGGAAGGTAGCTAAAATGGTAAGCTTTGAATTAATCAGAGCTGAATTAATCTCTTTCCCACCACCTGCTGGCGTTGTGCCCCAGGCAGCAGCTTCATCTCTCTGAGCCTTAGTTTCCTCATCTCAAAACAGGAAGGCAAATGCCTACCTTAGTGCTGTGAGAATCAAATTCAGGGAAGCATCTCACCCGGTGCCTGGCACGCAGGAAACAACTGTAAGAGTTTTTCATCAGTGGTATTTCAGGGGGTGTGGCCACATGGTTGCTAGAGAGACTGCCCCGTGTCATGGTGGAGACCATCTTCCTGGAAGGGTGAGCTTCATGAGAAAAATCTGGTTTCAGAGGCTGGCAAGAGATAGAATTCACACAAACCACAGGAAGAATGATGGGCCCGGAGCAGGAGAAAGTGGAACAGGAAGGAGCAGGCCCGAAGGCCAGCGCTTAGTGTGTAAAGCTAGAATGCACTGGGACGGAGGCTCCTGGGAGCGCAGTAGCCGCTTCAACTCAAAACACCTGAGGTTAGAAGTTTTCAGGCTCTCACACCCAGGCTGTGGCAGTGAGGACTCCTTCAGGGCGAGAAACAAAAAACACAGTGAAAACTGCCTTACAGACCAAGGGGACTCATTGACTTGTGTGTGTGCATGAGAGACAGAGTCTTACTCTGCTGCCCAGGCTGGGGTGCAGTGGCACAATCTCGACTCACTACAACCTCCACCTCCCAGGTTCAAGCCATTCTCCTGCCTTAGCCTCCCGAGTAGCTGGGATTACAGGCACTGCCACCATGCCCAGCTAATTTTTTGTTTTTGTTTTTTTTAAGATAGCGTATTGCTCTTGTTGCCCAGGCTGGAGTGCAATGGCAGGATCTTAGCTCACTGCCACCTCCGCCCCCCAGGTTCAAGCAATTCTCCTGCTTCAGCCTCCCAAGTATCTGGGACTACAGGCACCCGCTACCACGCCCAGCTAATTTTTTTAATTTTTAGTAGAGACAAGGTTTCGCCATGTTAGCCAGGAATGGTCTTGATCTTCTGACCTCATGATCCGCCTGCCTCGGCCTCCCAAAGTGCCGGTATTACAGGCGTGAGCCACCACGCCTGGCCAATTTTTGTATTTTTAGTAGAGATGGGATTTCACCATGTTAGCCAGGCTGGTCTAGAACTCCTGACCTCAAGTGGTCCAACCCGGCTGGAATGGTTGCTCTATAAAGCCAACAGTCCAGGGTTGGCTGTAGCTTCAGGCATGGCTGGATCTAGGAGGTCACACTGTGTCATCAAAGTTTCTCTCTCCATATTTCACCTCTGCCTCCTCCATATCAGCTTTATGTTCAGGCAGGTTCTCATCACAGGATGGCAAAGATGGCCACTGACATCCTTATAATTTTGTAACGAAAAGAGAGTTACTCCTCTGTCCCTATCCAGTGTCCATATCAATCCCAAGGTCTCTGGCCTGCCAGAGGTCATATGTCCATCACTGGACTAATCACAGCAGCCAGGTGAATGCAGTGTGTGATGGCTACAGAGACCTCGAATGTGGAGCGGGACAAGGCAGCCCAATAGGAACTGTCAGCTAAACAGATTGTTACAGAAGCTATCCTGAACCTAGCCAGGTGCAGTGGCTTGTGCCTGTAATCCCAGCACCTTGGGAGGCCGAGGCAGGCGGATCACTTGAGGTCAGATGTTCGAAACCAGCCTGGCCAACATGGCAAAACACCATCCTACTAAAAATATAAAAATTAGCCAGGCGCAGTGGCACACACCTGTAGTCTCAGCTACTTGGGAGGCTGAGGTGGGAGAATCGCTTGAACTTGGGAGGCAAAGGCTGCAGTGAGTGATCGCGCCACTACACTCCAGCCTGGGCAACAGAGCAAGATTCTGTCACACATAAAAAAGAATCTATTCAGAATGCCTCTGTCCCTCTCTCTCCTCTCTTTGAGATAGGGTATAGTTTTGTCACACAGGCTGGAGTGCAGTGGCACAATCTAGGCTTACTGCAACCTCCACCTCCTAAGCTCAAGTGATCCTCCCACCTCAGCCTCCTGAGTAGCTGGGACTACAGGCACACATCACTATGCCTGGTTAATTTTTGTATTTTTTGGTAGAGATTGGATTTTGCCATGTTTCCAACGCTAGTCTCAAACTCCTGAGCTCAAGCAATCGGCCTGCCTCAGCCTTCCAACGTGCTAGGATTACAGGCATGAGCCCCCTCGCTTGGCCATTCCAGAGTCTGTATAGAACACAGAGTGATTTCTCCAGCCTCAGCAACCAGAGTGAAACTCCATCTCGGGAAAAAAGAAATAGAGTGATTCCCCGGAGAAATGACAACTAGAAGAGACTTGCCCATTGCCTTCCGAATGAAGAATGATCCATTTTAATTTTTACTTTTTAATTTTTTATAACCCATCCAATGACCTATCAAGAATGAATCATTTTTATTTATTTTCTTTCTTTATGCACCATCCGGTGACCTACCAAGAATGATTTGTTTTTAGGGAGGCGCTGTGGCTCACGCCTGTAATCCCAGCACCTTGGGTGGCTGAGGCAAGTGGATTGCCCAAGTCCAGGAGTTTGAGACCAGATGGGTGACACAGCAAAACCCCACTTCTATAAAACACACAAAAATTAGCAGGACATGGTGGCACACACCCATAGTCCCAGCTACTTGGGAGCCTGCGGTAGGAGGATCACTTGAGCCTGGGAGGCAGAGGTTGCAGTGAGCTGAGATTGAAAAAAGATGTATTTTTAAAAGCCTCTGACCAAGGGCCATGGGAGTGGCTTGTGTAGCATGAGTCTTTCTCAATTGATCTGGATTCCCTACATGCTTATCTCCAAACTACAGCCCTTGGCCCATGCTAGGGACTCTACAAAGAGCGTTCTGTAACTGTGGGCCCATGAGCTGTTTTGAAGCAGAATGTGCCAGCCCGACAGCACTGTTCAGTAATAACATCTGGGTTTATGATTTGTACCTGAGTTTCCCCGTTAACGCTAGTCATGTAGCTAGAATGTGCCCACATGACTCCCAGCACGAAAAGCCTCTGCGTGTCCTGGGACCGAGATGCTTCACACACACACAGGTAGTGCTTTGAGACTCAGGCACGAAGTTCTCCTGTGTAAGCTAAGGAACATCCACGTGGGTCCCACGGGAAGACACGCATGGGGACGTGACTGTCTTTCTGCGGGTTGGCATGGAAAATGT